TTATTATATTTTGGAGGAACATTCTTCTAAATGGTACAGCAATCTTTTGTCAATATGCTTCTGTCAATAACTTGGGGTTGCTGTGATGCTGAACTTTATGCCACGGGGGTATCAAATACCATAATAGTTAACCATAGTGGACAGTGTTTGGTGGAACTCCCAGTTTAAGACAGGTTTAGAAGCATCATCCATTTCCTAAACAACATGCCTCTGAAAACTCTATGAACTTTTAAATTATGATAGTTTATAGATAGGCTTCAGGCCTTTTGTTCATAGGGTTGCTATGAGTTGTGCTCAACTCAATAGCAATCAACAACAAAGTACCTGTATGCCTCAGTCCATACACAGTAGCTACATTAAACAACAAGCTTGAGTTGTACAAAGAAATACCTGTATGAAATGGATTTGGGTGCCACAACAATGGGGTTTCGGCTGCCATCAAACAGAAAAGGCTTACCTGGGCATTTTAACAAACATGAAGTAAAATGTCTTAGGTGTGTGGATCCTTCTACCACATTTACAAAATTGTGAGTTACCATCTTTTTAATTGCTTCATTTGCATGTGAAAGATAGACAATGCATAAGAAAGACCAAAGAATTGATGCCTTTGAATTGTGGTGTTGGTGAAGAATACAGCATACACCAGGGGCTACCAAATAAACAAATAAATCTGTCTTGGGAAATAATGCCAAAATCAAGGACACGGAGTCCTCCTCTCATACATTTGGGCATATTAGTAGTAGGGGGAGGTAAGTCCTTGGGAAAAAACAACATTTTTGGAAAAACAGAAAGAGAGGAAGATCCTCAACAAGATGGGCTGACAAAGTGACTACAACAACTGACCAGTGCACTGCCAAGACTGTAAGGATGGTGCCAATCAGTTGTTGAACAGCAGGGTCTCTGACTCACAGCTGGTTCAACAGCACCTAACAACATTATAAAGGGTTATATTTTTGATGTAATCAAGGATTAACACAAAAATTATGTGACAAAGATCACAGGATCTTGAATTTTCGAGCTGTTGTTATGTTGTGTTGTGTTGTGTTGTGTTATGGTGTTCTATTCTGTTGTGATGTGATGTTGTGTCAAGTCATGTCATGTCACACAAGTCACAGTGGCAGCACAGGGCATGTACAAACCAAAAGATATGGAGGTCCTCATTTTGGCTCAAATATGTTATAAATATATACAAACTCATTTGAAAATAGTGAGCTCTTTTGTTTCAACCGCCTGAGAAAACCATAAATCCAGAGCTAGCAAATTGGGTCAAATCCTGCTCACTTCAGTGTTTTGAAATAATTTCTTTTTGTACACATCCATGTTTTAATCATTTATATATTAAGAATTCTAGAGGTCTACTGGTAAGGAGTTGAGCAGACAACCCAAAGGTATGCAGTTTGAATACATTAGCTGCCACTGCTCACCACTGGACCAATTGGCAGCATCAGGATGGATGGTGAAGAGATTGAGATTGTACACAGCTTTAGTTTGCTTGGCTCCATAGTCAACAGTCTTGGCACCAGCAGCCAGGAAATTAAAAGGCGCATTGCCATGGGAAAGTCTGCTGTTAGGGACCTCTCCAAAGTGCTGAAGAGCAATGGTGTCTCTCTGGAGACTAAGGTGCGTCTGATACAGGCCATGGTCTTTGCAATCACCTGTTATGCATCAGAGAGTTGGACAATGACCAAGGAGGATAGAAGGAGAATTGATGCCTTTGAGCTGTGGTGCTGGAGAAAAGTATTGAGAATACCATGGACTGCTAGGAAAACAAATAGATTTGTCCTGGAAAGGGTTAAACCGGGTGGCTCCTTGGAGGCAAGGATTCTGAGGCTCCATCTAACATACTTTGGACATGTTGTGAGGAGAGACCGGTCCTTAGAGAGGGACATCATGCTTGGGAGGGTGGAGGGACAGCGCAGGAGAGGAAGGCCCTCTATGAGGTGGATTGATTCAGTGACTGGGATAATTGGGATGGGAGTGTCAGAGACAGTGCGATTGGCACAGGACAGAGCGGAGTTTAGGGCTTTTGTACATAGGGTCACTATGAGTCGCAGGCGACTTGACGGCACATAACAACAACAAACAACAACAGCTGCTCCACAGAAGAAAGACAATCTCCTCTTGTTAATGCCTCTGAAAACCTGCTTAAGATCAACTACGGGTCAATTCCAATTCGATGGTACACAACAACAACAACAGTTTCAACATAGATTTTATGGATTACTGTTTAAAATATCTACCAAGACTTGTACAGAAAATAAGTGTAGACTTCTCCTAGACTAAAGCAGTCAAAACATTTGAAAAAAGAAATCTTACACATCCTTACTTAGCAAGTAGGTGATCTAGTGGTTAAGCAACAGACTTGAAATGCAAATAATTTTAACTCAACTTTTTTAGGCAAACAGCTGTGAAGCTCTGTTGTTCGGTGCCATCAAGTTGACTACGAGTATTAGGGATGCTATGACCAGTAGACGTTGACGCTGCCCTGTAATGCAATATCCTCATGATCTCAAGTCATCCTCAAACCCAATGTAGCAGTCACTGTAACAACAGCACTTGTTCAAAGTCTCCTCTCTTCTGCAGACGCTCTACCTTTCCCAGAGTGTTGTTTCTCTCCAAAAACTGGTTCCTCTTGAAAATATACCCATACTATGTTAATCAAAAGTTTCACCACCCGTGCCTGTAAGGAGCACTTTGCTTGCACATCCTTCCAGACAGATTTATTGGTTCTTTTGGCAGTTCATGGTATATTCAAGACTCTTTGCCAAAAACAATTCAAATGCAGTGATTCTTCTTTTGTGGAGTTCTAGGTAAGATAATTACCCTGAACCTTAGTTTTATGTTTTATATGACAATTAAATTTAGAGCACTAAGGTCACTAAGGTCAATGTTTTGCATAAGTGTCCAGGACAACAAAAATAATGTCTAGAAAACGTATTTGCACTAATTACTTTAGGGAAATTTAAGAAATCTCATCACTTGCCACTTTTGAAATACTTCTCTTCAACAAAAAAAAAATTAATATATTTACTACTCAAGATTTTCCATTAACAAATCCAGAACAACTGGGAATGTTGGCTCCATTTAAGACATTATTACCTTTACTGTCACTAGGATAAATACACCCTAAAGCTCCATTTTCAAGTCAGTCACCAGAGGTACAATAAACTTCCCAGAGGCTAGAAAAGCATGATAAATAGGGATTCAATTATCTTTGCCCTGAAAGAACTTTCATCTTTGTTGGGAGTCATTCTGTTGGACCCGAAGCCTAAGATCAAACTAAAAATTTCAATTTACCTATCTCCCAGATATAAAATTTTCTTTTCACACTTGAATCCCCTGAATGATGCAAATATTTAACACACTCAGAAGGTAACCAAAAGGTTGGAGATTCAAGTCCACCCAAAATGCCTTAGAAGGCCTGAGGATGTTCTACAGAAAAACCAGCCACTGGGTTACCAGGGAAGTGAAGGGAGGGGGAGGGGAGTGAAAACCAGTAAACAGACACTAGACACATATTATAATGGATGAAAGGAAGGTAATATCTAAGAGAAGATTATGACAGTATCACACTAAAGACAGGGAAGACAGAAAGGTAAAAAGAAGGATTAATGGAAGTTAGAATTACATGAAGTAGGGGAAGTGTGACTACACTGTGGGTATTAAAAGTAATACTGAAGAAGTATTAGTTAAAAGAAAAAGTGATTTGCTTTCACCCAAAAACTTAAAATCCTATGGAGCCAAGGTCTACTCTGACACAGAAAATTGTCATGAGATAGACATTAATTTGTTTTTACAGGTATAACATCAATTATGACAATTTCTTATACAGTAACTACTGGGAAGCTGTGGGTAATCACTTTATTATCAATTCTAAGCCTTCCAAAAAGCCCAGTTATATTTCTTTCAAATTCAAGCCAGTGTAACTGAATATAAATTATTCACCATACCAGTTGTGTATAATGGGCATTTTCAGAATGCTTATCCATTTTTCCTTTTATCACTTCTATATCATAAGTATGAACTAAAAAGAGATTGCCAGAGGTGCATGGTTCAAATCCACCAAAAACTCTGTTGAAGAAGGAGGGGCAATTTCCTCCTGTACCAGTCAAATATGATTTGATGGTGTTGTTGTTGTTGTTGTTACGTGCCGTCGAGTCACTTGCGACTCATAGCGACCCTATGTACAACAGCCCTAAACTCCGCTCTGTCCTGTGCCAATCACACTGTCTCTGACACTCCCATCCCAATTATCCCAGTCACTGAATCAATCCACCTCATAGAGGGCTTTCCTCTCCTGCGCTGTCCCTCCCCTCCCAAGCATGATGTCCCTCTCTAAGGACCGGTCTCTCCTCACAACATGTCCAAAGTATGTTAGACGGAGCCTCAGAATCCTTGCCTCCAAGAAGCCACCTGGTTTAACCCTTTCCAGGACAAATCTGTTTGTTTTCCTAGCAGTCCATGGTATTCTCAATACTCTTCTCCAGCACCACAGCTCAAAGGCATCAATTCTCCTTCTATCCTCCTTGGTCATTGTCCAACTCTCTGATGCATAACAAGTGATTGCAAAGACCATAGCCTGTATCAGACACACCTTAGTCTCCAGAGAGACACCATAATAATTAAAAAAAGAGAGAGAGTTCATATAAGAGGAAAGGTAAGCTACTGTTCCATGCAATTTCAGAATAAAGGGTCAGCTATGAGTTTGTTTCAACTCTATGGTACTAAGACAGTCTGTCTCATTTATTTGTTATCAAATTATGTTATTTTTCAGACTTAAGTGCTTATTAACTGAAACAACCAAGAGAAGTGGATTCAGATTCTCCTGAAAGATCCTTTGTAAGCCACTCTCCCTAACTAAAATATGAGCCAATAAAACATACTTATTAAGTCATTTAGCAACTGGTAAGCGAAAGAATAAGATTATTAACCACAGGTGTCTTCTCCAAAGATTTTTCTAGGACGTCTCACCTCTACATAAAAAGGTTATATTGGCCTACCTTGTTTCCGAACATCTTCTACAGCAGCCACAAGCTCCTCCTTAAGAAACTGACTCTCTTTTGCAATTTTGTCACCCTTCTCCAAGAAATTTTCAGTTGCTTGTTCAACAGACGCAGCCAAAACATGGGCTTTCTTGGAACGACCTCTCTTCTTATTAGAAGGTCCCTTACTGTTGGTGTTTACCAGGGTTGTAACCTAAAAAATTCATTTTAAAAACTTATAAACTGCAGTCACTGAAAATGAAAGTAACAAACAGATAAGTTTAAAGGTAGCAAAAATAAATTCTTATAAAGAAATAAATATCACATTTGACAAG